GCCAGTTGGTCGACCATGACAGCTCAGCCCGATCCCAGACGACTTAGACCGAGGTGGCAGGGGTACAGGCTGAGAGAACTGGTTGGAACTGGGGTTGTGAATACGGACCCGACTGAATTTGTTGCTGGACGATACGTGGGATGTGAAACAAAGAGATTTCTAAAAACAAAAGCTTTGCCCCGAGCAACTATCAGTGCGGGTGGCATCTGCTGTGGCAGGGAAGGCTTCAAGAACATGAGGCTCGGGACAGGACTGATGAGAAGTGCGGTCAAGTGTCGTGGGTCCAGTTGCCTGCTCTGTGTCTCCACGTCAACGTGGACAGCAGGGCCAACTAGACAGCCGGCGCTCAGGGGAAGGGGGTGATGGGAGCGTGGCTGACAGAACCTGAGGACAGAATGCTGGTCGAGAAGAAATGCACAATGTCACCCTGGGGACATCCAGCCTTTACAGTTTGGGGAAGGAAGAGGAAAATCAGCAAAGAAGGCTGCCGTAGGGAGGCCACTGGACTCAGGAGGACTAAGAGAGAAAGGGAAGCCTGGAGCAGTGGATGATGGTGTCGTGGGGACAGGGACGCTGTCCAATAAAATCACAAAGCTCCAACTTACCATGGAGTTATGTGCCTGTGAGGTACAGCAGCACTGATGTCCCATTCCTATGCCCCAAATTTATTTAAAATCTGATGATTCAAATGTCCCTAAGAAAACCAATGGCCGAACAAATATTTCCCTCTGATATTTCAGTGACACCTGTAATTCTTAGCTCACATGCTATTGGCATACTATCCAGTCAAAATGGTTCATCAAGAAAACTCTAATTTAATACTAGTGGATAAACGGCACTCTTGCCTGGCAACAGTGGTCATACTTGAAATTCAATTCTATGAGGAAAGCACTCCTTTTCAGTTCCATCATTTTAAATTTTACTTTGAACCCACAGTGCCGTGCTCATACTTCAAATTTAACATTAGCTTGACTTATGAGTGGTAAAACAGTGTAACATACATAAAGTAGGTTTTCTTTCTTCTTTTACTTTCTTTCTTTCTTTCTTTCTTTTTTTTTTCCTGTCTCAAGATCACAGAAGCACATACATGGACTTTTCCTTCCTCTTCCGGTACAGAAGAGGAGCAAAGCCCTTTTGGTCTGGACGGTTGTTTTGCAGATTTTGAAGAGACTAAGCCTTTGGTTTGGAAAGACTCCAGCTTGAATTAGTTTTCTTGCTGGAGCCTCTGGTGGAGAAAGGAAGGCTCTGGGACTGGAGAGATGGACAGTGGCACATGGGTCATGGGTGTGGGTAGGGTGACCAGCTGTCCTAGTTTCGTTGGAAGAAGTTCCTGGAACATGGAGGTGTTTGTTTTATAATCTGACTAAAGGGTTTCAGGAACTTCTTTGGTAAAGTGAGGCAAGTCCTGGGCAAACTCTGACAAGTTAGTAACCCTAGGTGTAAGAGTCAACTTTTCATCAAGTTCTCAGACACACAGTGTCCCACTCCCACTGGTATTCCTGAAGTGACAAATTTTGCTGTATGGTTCACGGAGTATCTTGGCAGTGGAGATGGCCGGATGACTGCCCGTGTTCCAGCCTGTGATCTACAGATAGAGCCCATGTGAGACAATCAGTGTGGTTGCCAAGAGAAATGGCACCCAGATAGACCAGGACCATATGGGGACACAAGAGTGGCAGTAACACCCAAGGACAGAGAGGACCTGGTCCTCCCCTATGCACTCTGAGGAATACATCTTTGATTCCCACACGCACCAGAATGGGGAGGGAGCTCTGTGGAGTCAGCGGACATCAGGCTTCTCATCTATCTTAACACATGGGAGCTTGAACTGGATATAAGTTCACTTAGAAAAATGAGAACGGGATTTGTGTTAATAACCGGGAGAGTGGAACACACTTTTGACCATTTCATGTGTTTGCTGATGTTGCTTATGGAATTGTATTTGTTGGGATCAAACACAAAACACACTGTACACTTCTGATAGGATAATTAGAAAGGGTTTCTTTCAAAGATTAGTCCCAGGTAGAAGTGTGGTTCCTGGGAACTGGTTATAAGAACTGGAAAATAACGTGGATGGCTTCTTGAGACAAGCACTGAACTCTGACTGGGGAACAGAGCCAACCCCGGGAAACCAGCAGGGAGGGAACAGGGTATATGGGAACCATGACCCCTCTCTTTCCCTTGTATCTTTCATGTCCTGCCAGAGCTCCCCACAGGATGAATCCCAACAGTACAGAAGACTAGTTCACTCCTAGGGTCAGAGAGCAGCTTGAGAAATGGAAAAGAATAATCTATAAGGCAAAGGGAAAATGTACAGTACGAAATACAGAGTCTTGGAAATGCAAAGGTCCTTGGAAATTGGTGCAGTATCTTCAATTCACAAATAAAGCAAAAAGGACAAAAACAAGAGGCCAGTCACAGACTTTTAGAGGTTAAGTGAGAAACCTACATTTCCTTACTTAGGGTCCAAGATTAATTTTTCTAAATTATGCCAAACAAAGTTTGTATGTCTTGTTTCTGCCCCCTTTTTATAGAGTTTTAAAGACAACCTTGAGGCAATCCATTCACAAAAAAGCCTCAGAGTCAGCAGTATATTTTTGCTCCTAACATGGAATTTTCCAGAGCATACCAGACTCACGGACTCATCAGCTGGAAGTTGGGGAGGGAAAGTTCTTGTGCAAGGTCTTGTCAAACTTTATGAAATTGCCAACTGTCATACATTTTTATCTACAAAAATGACAATTTCACATGGTTCAAACTGGATTTCGAATACTGAATTTTTTAAAAAAATAACTAAGTTTCATTTCCGTAGGAATTTTAATGGGTGTGTTCATGTTGATCACTTCCTAAGCATCAACATTTTAATTAATTAATTAATTAACAAGGAAGATCAAAACATCTATGATTCTCAAATAACTATAATGAAGGGCCTATTAAAAAAAAACTAGGAAGTTGTCTTTTGAAGAGAGGGAAATCATGAAGGAACATAGGAAAATAAGTGTTTTCTGGGTTCTGTAAGAATTTAATAAAGGGGAAATTTTAAAAAGGCCAGTAACAAAACCATACACCCCATTACCCTACAATCCAGCAGTCCTAGTCCTCAGTATTTGCCAAAATGAACGGAAAATGTGCACCCACACACAATCCTGCACAAGAATGTTCAGAGCCACGATTCCCTGTTGCCAGAACCTGTAAGTGACCGAGATGCTCTTTGGTAGCGAGTGATGAATGAACTGTGGCCCATGCGGACCATGAAATATCTTCCATCACTAAAAAGGGATGAATTAAGAGGTGAAGAGACATGGAAGAGCCTTAAATGCATGTCGCCAAGTGACAGAACCCGTCTGAGAAACCACACACTGTATGACTCCAACTCCAGGACAGTCTGGGAAAACCAGAGCTCTGGAGGCCGTAAAGGGACTGTCAGGGGTGGAGGGTGCCGGCGAGGGATGGGTACTCAGAACACAGAGGATTTTTAGGGAGTGAAACTACTCTGTGTGGTACTAAAATGGTGGACACACGTCATTATCCATTTTTCTAAACCCACAGAACGTCAACCACCAAGAGTGAACCCCATGGGAACCACGTCTGTGGGTGATGACATGTCACCAACAATTATCACAGGGGAGGCTGTGCGTGAGGGGGGAGTGCAGATGGGAAACCTCTGTACCTTCCCTTCCATTTTGCTTGCACCTAAACGTGCTCTAAATAATCATGTATTTTAAAAAAGTCGAGGTAACGATGGAATGAGTAGGAGAGAGAAACAAACACCACCTCATTGCATTGCCAACTTTTTGTTTTGCCAGATGAGGGGTGATGAGTCACACATCTACCATAATGACTCACACATCTACCATAATGAGTCACACATCTACCATCTACTCATCCCCATTTCTGAAGATAAAAAGAGCAAAAATCTTAGAATAAAGGAATGTTTTCCCCTAAACCAGGTTAGCTGGAGCAAACTTACCTCAAATATTTTTACAACAGGCCAGTGAAAAATTTAACACATGTTTGCAAATCACTGCACTAGAAGCTCAGTGAAACCGGAGATGAAAAATTGTGCAGACGATAATTTCATTTTTATTAGCAACCTTTTAAAGCATTAAACTGAGCTAAGTCCACTTTCTTATGTAAATCCTAAAAGTGGTTCACCAGTGGCCTGCCAAGAGAAAGCTGAATGGGAGTGTGCTCATGTGCGAATTTCACCTGTTTCATGGCCAACCCTGCACACCACCAAGGTACACGACCTCTCTACAGGGTGTGACGTGGCGGGTGCTCAGAGGGTCAGCGTCCACGAAGTCCCTGCACTCCTTCCTTCTTGGGAAACTGCTCGTTAAAAAATGGGCCTGACAGGCTGTCAGGGGGTAAGAGCGCCAGTGTTCAAGTGGGAGGTCCCGTGGGCGATCCGGCTGGGATAACTCTGTCACGCGAACTACCTGATACCCTGGCCCAGAGGAGGGGCAACGCAGGGCCCTTCTCTGCAGGAGTGGACGGCAGGCCCTCCCATCTGATTAGTGGACGGCAGGCCCTCCCGTCTGGTTAGTGGACGGCAGGCCCTCCCGTCTGGTTAGTGGACGGCAGGCCCTCCC